ATGTAGATGTTCTATCCATTATTGAAAGCTGGGTATTGAAGGCTACTTTTATTGAATTGTTGTCTCTTTCTCTTCTCTCGGTTCAGTTCTCCCAATGTTTGTTTTATATACAGTATTTAAGTGTTCTGATGTTGGTTGTATATATGTTTATAGTTGTTCTATCTTTCTGGTGAATTGACCCTTTTATCATTTTATGATGTCCGTCTTTGTCTCTGGTGACAATTTTTGACTGAAAGTCTATTTTGTCTGAGATAAGTTTAGACACACCTACTCTATTTTGGTTCCAACTTGCATGGATGATCTTTTAACCATTCTTTCACTTTCGGCCTATGAGTGTCCTTGTATCTAAGTGAGTCTCTTATAGACAACTTTTAGTTAGATCTTGTTTTTTATCCATTCAGCCACTCTGTGTCTTTTAATTGGGGAGTTTAGTTTATTCACACTTGAAGTAATTTTTGATAAAGAAATTGAACTACTTTTGTTCATAACCCTTCTCACACCAAATGTGTGGATTTTTTCCTGCTGACATCAAATATGTGGTATCTTTTTAAGCACCAGTTATTCAGTTATCTGGATACCAATTGTGTGTCCTATAATTGAATAAAACACTGACTACCCAGAGTAGTGTCAGACTCCACAGTTTATTTTATTTTAATTAATTAATTAAGTAATACTATTATTATTTTTTGAGACAAGATCTCACTCTGACACCAGGCTGGAGTGCAGTGGTGTGATCATAGCTCTCTGCAGCCTCAACCTCCTAGGCTCAAGCTATCCTTTCACCTCAGTCTTCCCAATAGCCGGGACTAAAGCTACTCATGTGCCACCACACCTAGATGATTTTTGTATTTTCTAGACAGGGTCTCACTGGGTTGCCCAAGCTGGTCTTGAACACTTGGGCTTAAGCTATATGCCCACCTCAGCCTCACAAAGGGCTAGGAATTACAGACATGATCCACCACATCCAGCTGCTACTTTTTAATTTTAACAGAAAGAACAGATCTGAACTCATATGCTTCTGGTAAAAATGAGTCAAGATATATAAAGACAAAAGTTGACTAAACTAGAAGAAGAAATTTATAAATCAACCATGATAGAAAGAGGCTTAAATATACATCTGTTAGTAATTGGTAAGTCAGTTGGACAAAAATTAGTAAGGAAATAGAGTTAACAACAAAACGAACAGCTTGATTTGTTAGAACAAAACTAAAGAATACATAATTTTCTCAAGCACACATGGCATGTTTTTAAAAACTGGTTGCCCAGCCGGTTGCGGTGGCTCACGCCTGTAATCCCAGAACTTTGGGAGGGTGAGGCGGGTGGATCTTGAGATCAGGAGTTCAAGACCAGCCTGGCCAAGATGGTGAAACCCAGTCTCTACTAAAAATACAAAAAATTAACCGGGCGTGGTGGCAGGCGCCTGTAATCCCAGCTACTTGGGAGGCTGAGGCAGGAGAATCACTTGAACTCGGAGGGCAGAGGTTGCAGTGAGCTGAGATTGCACCACTGCACTCCAGTCTGGGCAACAGAGCGAGACTCCATCTCAAAAAAAAAAAAAAAAAAAGAAAAAGAAAAAGAAAAAAGAAATGCCTACACATTCAGCAAGGTACATTGCAAACAATAAAATGAAAAACACTCTATTATTATAATATCTGCCTAAATACATACAACTTGCATCATGATTTTATATATGTATTTTCAGGACTCTGTACGCATTGTCAACGTTTAAAGCAGAATTAATGTTTAGTTTTTTCTACATTAAAAAATACAGTTTTTGACCAGGTGCGGTGGCTCACGTCTGTGATCCCAGCACTTTGGGAGGCTGAGGTGGGCAGATCACCAGGTCAGGAGATTGAGACCATCCTGGCTAACATGGTGAAACCCCTTCTCTACTAAAACTACAAAAAAATTAGCCGGGCTTGGTGGCGGGCACCTGTAGTCCCAGCTGCTCGGGAGGCTGAGGCAGGAGAATGATGTGAACCCAGGAAGTGGAGCTTGCAGTGAGCTGAGATCATGCCACTGCACTCTAGCCTGGGGGACAGAGTGAGACTCGGTTAAAAAAAAAAAAATTGTTTTTAATTAGTTCCTCAAGATTCAAACATCCACAGTGAATAACAAATACACTTGCATTTTTACTCTAGGATGTTTTTTTAAAACAGCAATCATAGGAATTAAAATGTTTATATGTGATGTTACAGATAGGTTGATATTTAACACCAGAAATTAATTCGGTGTATTATCCTCACATTTATAATAAAACAAATGTCCAGGTTCACTCCCCCTATAATCTGGTGGTTCCTTCTGCCTTGTTGACCACTGGTTCCAAACACAGCTAGATAGTACTATGTTGGCAATAATCTACGGGCTTTCCTTAGGGGGAATCACAGGGGCTTACCCAGATAAAGCCATGCCATTTTATTTTGTCTGATTTTGGTAGCAGCCTGATTCAATAAAACAATTTCTTAACTTTTAGGATATTCATTTTATATTTCTTCCTGTCTTGCCAAATATTCTGCTGGTCACTTTATTAAAAATTTTAGACAGGATATAAACTTAACAATGCTAACTTTTCTATCTGAAATGAGGGTTCTGAACCTAAACAGAATTTGAATGACTACTAAGTCATTCATATTTTTTAGTGCAAAGCTATTCGTTTGGGTCATATTAAATTGTTGACCTGCAAAAGTGGTAGTTTTACATGCTTCAATCTGTATATCTTGGAGTGAGTGGTGGCTTTGTGATTGTTAGGAATTAAAACTTACTAAGTTCTACACGAATAAAGGGCATCAGAAAGGTAAAACTAGATGAGCGATTATTTGTCCATAAATCAGAAATACACGTATAATTGAAGTATTACAACAACAAATATGAACATCTTAAGAGCTATAGAAAAATTGCCTTACTCTGTCCAGAGGGGAGGTTGTTGGTCCAGCCAGCTCACCTGCCAGGTCTCTGGCTCCTATGCTAGACCTTTATGTGTTGGAACCACAGATACTAGTGTTTCCCCAAGTATTTACTTACATGATGATATTATTGTTGTCATTATTATTATTGGTAATATCCATCAGATTTCCTGGGGGCATGAATGATACTTATGTCCACATGCCCCACCCACAGGCTTGGCAAATACAAGATATGCAGTAAGTGTCGATGCACGGGTGGTGACAGTCATTGGCCAAGCACTTTCCCATGCATTATCCTACACAATAACTTTAAGAACGCATTGTATTATACCTTTATCTTGCTCTTGAATCAGTATTTTTTTATTTTTAAATTTATAACATCAATGAGTAAGGAAATGCCTAATAATCACAATAGGAATCTCTTAGGACTTTAGCAATAAAGTTCTGATAAATTGAAATCCTAAGTCTTCTCAGTCAGGTGCTTTTATGGTGAAGGCAGATTGCTATTCCTTGCATGGTAACTGCATTTAAGTTTTATGCAGTGGCTACATTGGAAAAAGCAGTGGCGTGCTTAATTGCATGGAGAATGTAATCTCACGTCTGCACCCACGACCACTTGCTTTTCTGTGGTCAGGTTTATGAACAGTGAATACTGATCCTCAGATGACCTCACTAAATACATTACTGTGTTTGTAAGTGTTCACATGAGCATTTTGATTTCCCTGCTATTATGGATGAAAAAAAGAGTCGAATTCTGTAAAATATCTGAGGAGATTTATTCTGAGCCAAATATGAGTGACCAATGGTCCGTGACATAACCCTCAGGAGATCCTGAGAGCATGTGCCCAAGGTTGTTGGGGCACAGTCTATTTTATACATTTTAGGGAGACACGAGACTCGGTCAGATACATGTAAGATGCACATTGGTTCAGTCTGGAAAGGCAGCAAGAAGCGGGGAAGGGGAAGCTTCCAGATTATGGGTAGATGGAACAATTTTCTGATTGCCAGTTGGTTGAAAGAGTTAAGTTATTAACTGGACGACTTGGAATCGGTAGAAAGGAGTGTCTGGGTTACGATGATAAGGAGTTGTGGAGACCAAAGTTTATCATGTAGATGAAGCCTCCAGGTAGCAGGCTTCAGAGAGAAGAAATTGAAAATGTTTCTCAGCAGACTCAGTTTGTTCCGTCGGTAATTCCAAAAGGGAGGAGGGTGTAATGAGGCACCCCTTGTCCCCCATCATGGCCTGAACCAGTCCCTCAGGTTAGCCTTGGAATGCCCTTGCCCAGAGGAGGGGTCCATTCAGATGGCCAGTGGGCTTAGAATTGTATTTTTGGTTTACATTATGTATTTACAAATGTAACTTAATACCTCTTGAACTGCAATGAAAGGTTATTATTTACTGTGTGTTGTTCAGAATAACATTAAGGTAGTTGTATTTGCTTCCTAAGGCCAGTGACACAGAAGTTCTTTCCCATGAGGAGCTCCTGCTGGTCACTCAGGTTGTGAGGATGGACACACAGCAGCCATGCTCTGAAGCGGCTTACATGCTGGGGCCTCTGCTCTGCCAAAGGGACAGTAAGTAGTGGCAAGAGGAACTGTCTTGGCCCACTAATAATACATGTCCATGTTTTATGGGAAATTTACCTGCTGGGTTAATAACAATATTGTCTGCCCTGGCAGTCTGTGTTTCATTAGGAATAATTAACTTGAAAAAGCAATGTATCTTATAATTGGGAAAAAGGTGATAAAAATTATATTACCTCTGGGTTATGTCTCTTTGATGCAGTGTTTAAATAAGACCACAGCTGTAAAGACTAATGGAATCATCTGAAATATTTTATCACTTGCTAGCAATATCACCTATTGAAATGTTTTCAATAGGTGAAACTATTTTATCACCTATTTTACCAAAAGCTAAGATCACTAAAATTGGTCAGCAAATGAGAAAATGTGAGGACAGAGCCATCAGGCCTATTGGCTCATTAGCACCTCTGACAACTCTGCATGTTCACAGGGAAACCTCCATGACCTCAGCTCCCCCAAAACAGGCAAAATGAAACGCATGTATTCTAGCTTTGATCTCATCTCTCATGAATATGCTCTGTCCAGGACTTCTCTGTCATCACTCCCCAGAAGCTGGAAGAAAGCCACAGCCATGCCAGGAGTGGAGCCAGGGTGTGCAGGACACGGCAGCAGCACCCACATGTGATGGGCTGTCTACACACAAGGTGGGTGTGCCCATGGAGCAGGTCGCAGAGAAACTGTGGGAGATCACAGACTGCAGAGATCATTCTGGCATTTGGCACTCTAAGGAAAGTATAAGGCAATTCTGTCTGATTATTTAAAATAGAATTGTTTCTGTCCCAAACCCATTTACTTTAGGAGGAGATAGGATTCCATTCGTGAGACGCCTGTGGCTGCTTCTGTTGGATTTGGTGGCAGTCCTTTCTGCATTTCTCAGAGGATCATCAGTGCAACACCCTGAGGAAAGCAGTAACATAGAAATTACACAGTTCTACTGGAGATTCACCTTTATCCAAATCGAAGATGAAGCATTTTGGGGGCAATAATAGGATGTTAGTTGTTAATTCTGGGTCCTGGGAATATGAGGGAGTTTAGTTATCTATATTTTATATTCCTCTTTGTTTAAAATTTAATAAGTTTCCAGCACTTTGGGAGGCCGAGACGGGCGGATCACGAGGTCAGAAGATCGAGACCATCCTGGTTAACACGGTGAAACCTCGTCTCTACTAAAAAAAATACAAAAAACTAGCCGGGCGAGGTGGCGGGCGCCTGTAGTCCCAGCTACTCGGGAGGCTGAGGCAGGAGAATGTCGTAAACCTGGGAGGCGGAGCTTGCAGTGAGCTGAGATCCGGCCACTGCACTCCAGCCTGGGCGACAGAGCGAGACTCCGTCTCAAAAAAAAAAAAAAAAAAAAATTAATAAGTTTAAAAAAACATCAAAATGCCATGATTATTTTACTTTGAGATATTTAAGGATTACGGACACTTTGAAAATATACACAAAGTAAGAGTCTGGCACATACATATGCCTAACATAGCAAAACTGTGTCATTCCAGAGATTTTGGCATGTTGAATGGGCACTGTGGTGTTCTACAATCTTCAAGAACAGTACACTTACACCTTCAGTAAGAACTCCAGCTTCCCTGCAGCTTTATTTCCTGAAGAGGTCATGCTGACCAGAGAGGCGGCCACACTGAGCTTCCGAACCACCGTCCCCCCGCTTACAGCTCTGCAAGAGCTCCTTCCGCGAGGAATACCTTCCAGTTGTTCTCACCTTAAATGGTGAGTGTCCTCAGCGTAACAAGAGTGAGGCCAAATATTATAACCATAACAAGGTGGGGCCTTTCAGTGTTCAAACCACAAGCAAGAAACTCGACAGCATATCCTGCAACTGTCATTTTATTAGCATTGGTTTATTTTTCATTATAGCCCTAAATATTTATCCAAAAAAGTTAAATTTTGGTGATTAAAATTAAGATACCTTTCTTCCATAAGATTTTGATCGTTTTTATGTATTTGATGTGAAATTGTGCTTCTGCTTGTCTGGAAGCCTTTCCTTCTCTATATGAATACATTTTAAATCAATTTACTTTGAAATAAGACCTATTATCTCATCTATGGAAATTATTTCCTCCTCCTAAACAAAGTAGCACTTAACCCATGTAAAAGCTGGTATCCATGTGCATAGATACCCGCAGCTGCTCTTCATCCATCGGTAGCTGGGAAGTGGCTCATGTCATCCCTGCATGAAACAGAGAAGTGGAGCGGGAGTTACCCAGCCTGTGCCCCACCAGGGCTTTTTCAGGCGTGGACATTGGAGAGCAAAACCAGCCTTCAACCTTGCCTCGTGGCACACGAGAGGAGAAACTTCTGGAAGCACCTCCACACTCTCTAATAGGATCTGGCATAGGCATCAAGGTAGAGAGTCTATCTGTGAAGACCATTGTGTGGGTAAAGGGTTTAGATATTGTAGTAAACCACTTACTTCTCTTTCCCATGTTCCTTGATTATGGCGGAAACATTAGAAAAAAAAATCCCGGTTGTGCAAAGAAAAATTATGCAAATGTCAGTAATACATTCAAATGTATTAAAATAAGTCATATTAAAAGAAGTTATTAAAAAATGTTTTCAGGGTTCATCCATGTTGTAAGAGGTATCAGAACTTCACTCCTTTTTATGCCTTAATTATATTTTATTGTTTGTATATACTATAGTTTTTAAATCCAGTCATCTGCTGGGTTGTTTCCACGTTTTGACAATTGTCACTACAGCTACTTTCACTTTTTTTTTTTTTTGAGATGGAGTCTTACTCTGTCGCCCAGGCTGGAGTGCAGTGGCACAATCTTGGCTCACTGCAAGCTCCGCCTCCCTTGTTCAAGCGATTCTCCTGCCTCAGCCTCCAGAGTAGCTGGAACTGCAGGTACCCACCACCACACCTGGCTAATTTTTTGTATTTTTAGTAGAGAGGGGGTTTCATCGTGTTAGCCAGGATGGTCTCGATGTCCTGCCCTTGTGATCCGCCCACCTCTGCCTCCCAAAGTGCTGGGATTACAGGCGTGAGCCACCGCACCAGGCCAACATTTTTTTACAAACAGAAGTTAAATGCTTATAAAACTGAATGGTAATGCGGTATTGCCTAAGTTCTTGCCATTTAATAATATAAATATCACATTAATAATAACTTAGAGACTCACTCAGTTTTCATATGCTTAATTTCACCTTTTTCCTTTATTGAATGAAAATAGGGGGACTTGATTGTTGGTGTTTTTTGTTTATTTGTTTTGTTTTTGAGATGGAGTCTCGCTCTGTTGCCCAGGCTGGAGTGCAGTGGCGCGATCTTGGCTCACTGCAAGCTCTGCCTCCCAGGTTCACGCCATTCTCCTGCCTCAGCCTCCTAAGTAGTTGGGACTACAGGTGCCTGCCACCACGCCCGCCTAATTTTTTGTAGTTTTAGTAGAGATGGGGTTTCACCATGTTAGCCTGGATGGTCTCAATCTCCTGACTTCGTGATACGCCTGACTTGGCCTCCCAAAGTGCTGGGATTACAGGCGTGAGCCACCTCGCCCGGCTGATTGTTGGTGTTTTTTAAGACTTGGGTTCTCACTCTGTCACCCAGGCTGGAGTACAGTGGTGCAATCACAGCTCACTGCTACCTACAACTCCTGGGCTCAAGGAATCCTCTTGCCTCAGCCTCCTGAGTAGCTGGGACTACAGGCATGCACCACCACACACAGCTGAAAATGGGGGAACTTGGAAAAGGTATTGTTTACTATAACCTATTTGGTCTTGACTTTTGAAATAATTAGAATTGGATTTAAAATTTGGTCCTGGAATAGCCATAATTGATCATTATTCCAGGAAAAGTAAATATTGGTGCACCCAAGTAAATGCTTAATAGATTTGAATTGTATTAAATAAATTAAAACAAAATGTGCTTTAGAACCTGCATTCACAGTTTAGTACTTCACCGGTTTTAGTTTACTTGGTAGCCAAATGTTGTCTAGTTTATGATAGTGACAACTGGGGATATGCCAATGATAATTTCTGTAAAACTCTGTTTTGGCCAATTAAAATTGTTACTCCAAGAATGTAAGACTTAGAGCAAAAATTTATAATAAATCCTAAAGAGAAGAGATACGCATTCAGCACTGTTCCTCCTTAGATCTTGCTATGACGTAACTTATAGTCAAGGTGTTTTGTTTTGTTTAACAATATTTAACAATGAGATTGTCAAATTATCATTGATATTTGACCATTTAAAATACCAAGCTCTTCTCACTGGTTGTCCTTTACCTGGCAGGGAAATGTTTGATTTATCATAGTGACTACTGGAGACGTGCCAGTGGGAACCCATTCCCACTGGGTACAAAATAACAAGGCTACAGCCAATTTACCTGAAGGAAAAATCAAGATTTGGCTTAAATAGGAATACATATTTATGTATGCACCAGAGACCAGGTGCAGTGGCTCATGCCTATAATCCCAGCACTTTGGGAAGCCGAGGCAGAAGAATCACTTGAGGTAAGGAATTCAAGACGAGCCTCGCTAACAAGGCCCTGTCTCTACTTAAAATACAAAAATTAGCCGGACGTGGTGGCGGGCAGCTGTAATCCTGGCTACTACTTGGGAGACTGAGGCAGGAGAATCGCTTGAACCTGGGAGACAGAGGTTGCAGTGAGCTGAGACTGCGCCATTGCCCTCCAGCTTGGGCAACAAGAGCAAAACTCATCTCAAAAAAAAAAATAATAATTAATTAATTAAAAATAAAAATTAAATTAAAAGCTCCAGAGTATTTAAATTATGCATCGTCACTTGGTTTTGAAAAATAACAGTTTTATGTTGAATCTGTATATAGCATACATTTTTCCGCTTGCATTACAAAGTTCCTGTTGATATAAGAAAAGCTTTGGCCGGGTGCGGTGGCTCATGCCTGTAATCCCAGCACTTTGGGAGGCTACGGCGGGTAGATCATGATGTCAGGAGATCGAGACCATCCTGGCTAACACAGTGAAACCCTGTCTCTATTAAAAATACACACACACAAAAAAAGTAGCTGGGTGTTTTGGCAGGTGCCTGTAGTCCCAGCTACTCAGTAGGCTGAGGCAGGAAAATGGCATGAACCTGGGAGGTGGAGCTTACAGTGAGCCGAGATCAAGCCACTGCACTCCAGCCTGGGCGACAGAGTGAGACTCCATCTCAAAAAAACAGAAAAAAGAAAAGCTTTGAGGTTTAAAATAAGTGTCTTTGTGAATTATACCAATTATAGATACTTAAAACATGAAAAAGCATAGAGGAAAAAGGGATAGACAGTGGGGTGGGGTGGAATTTGAGGTATTAGAGAAATTCTTTATGTAACAGTTTCCCCCTTTCCAAATCTTCTATTGTTTGATGTTAGTTTCTTTAACCTTTGTAATAGCACTAATGCTATTGGCTTATTTTTATCATTTTTCTTGAATTTCCTTTGATTCCCCTTCTATTATCAAAATTGCTTACTGGCCTGTCACAATGGCTCATGCCTATAATCCCAGCACTTTGAGAGGCCAAGGTGAAAGGACTGCTTGAGGCCAGAAGTTCGAGACCAGCCTAAGCAACATAGTGAGAGACCTCATGTCTACAAAAAGTTTTTGAAAAATTAGCTGGGTGTGGTGGCACATGCCTGTAGTCCCATCTACTTAGGAGGCTGAGGCTGCAGTGAGCTATGATCATGCCACCACATTCCAGCTTGGGCAACAGAGCAAGATCTTGTCCCCCTGGGGGGGGCGGAGGGACCACTCACCATTTTACCGTTTCAACATTTGCTTCTTGTAGGAACATTTAATAGGTTAACCAGATTACACGGAGACAGAATTCTTTTTCATTACAGACAGAATTCAATGATTCAATGCTGTCAAATCCCTTATGTTGGAGGCAATTTTAAGAAAGAAAAAGAAAGAGTATTTCCCCCATGACATGGATCAGAGGCCCTAAATTGCAAATGCAGGAAGCATTGGCTATGCTGAAAGAAGCTCCTTGTCATATTCATAATTTCCCAGTGAGAGACAAGGTAGAAACTGCTCTCAGCTGAGCGCACATGTCATCCTAAATGCTACCTGTGAAACCACCAGGACCTTCCAAGAAAAATGCTTCCACACTGACTCCCTCACTTGGCAATCAGGCATAATGTAAGAAACTTAGCATTTTTCTAACAATTCAGGAAAGCTGAAATCAAAGCAGACATCAACTTCACAAATGATATATTAATCTGAGCTCAAATATGGAAATAATAATTATGATGATGATGATTATTATGAGTTGGAGTCTCACTCTGTCACTCAGGCTGGAGTGCAATGGCATGATCTTGGCTCACTGCAACCTCTGCCTTTCGGGTTCAAGCAATTCTCCTGCCTCAGCCTCTGGAGTAGCTGGGATTACAGGCACCTGCCACCACGCCTGGCTAATTTTTGTATTTTTAGTAGAGAGGGGGTTTCACCATGTTGGTCAGGCTAGTCTCGAACTCCTGACCTTGCGATCCACCCACCTCAGCCTCCCAAAGTGCTGGGATTACAGGCAGGAGTCACCGTGCCCAGCCAGAAATTATGTAATGATAAAACTAGATTTAAGTGTGTGGGAAGAAGAGAAATAACTGTTCATTTTCCTTTAGCAAATGAATACATTTAAGGCTGTGGCTTGGGTCCTGCCTTGCCTGTGGGTTGAGGTGAGATGTATCCAGTGCTCCCCGTTACTCTTGCAAACAAGACCTAAATATTCCGCAGACATTTTTTCCAGCTACCGGTGATTTTCCATAAAAACATACTTTACTATTTAGGCATTACATTCCTAATGCCTTTATTATGTTTTCTTCTTCACAAATAATTACATTGAAATATAAATAAGTTTTCACCTTCTTTCCAGGTATGCCTTTGGACAGTCCCAGCTATTCAGGAGGCTGAGGTGGGAGGATCTCTTGAGCCTGGGAGTTCAAGGCTGTAGGGAGCCATGATTGCATTACTGCACTCCAACCTGGGCAATAGAGTGAGACCCTGCCTCAAAAAAATAGTTAATTCTTTTCTTTTTGTTCATATATAAATTGTACATTTTAAAATATTTAAATATCATTTGGAGCAAATCCCCCTGTGGCATGTTTATGATTCTTGCTTTGGTACTTGAGACTCAGCCAGGTCTGTTTTGTCCTAAACAACTGCTGGGATCTTTGTTGTTTTTTCAGCCGTTTGTACATTGATTCTCCTGGTCATTTCTTTTACCCCTGTGTATAATAGCACAAACCTGGGAATGTTAGAGAAGACACATGAATGGGCATTTAAAATATGTTGAGAAGCACAGTAACTATTAAAACTAACACGGCTTTCAAACAGATGATGATTAATAAAATTGTGGCTTCTTATTTTTCTAACAGGAAATGCTATGAATTTTAGTGCACTAAAAACCAATGTGTAACAGAGAGTGCAGCCTGATTTTTAAATTTTGTTTAAAACAGTGTCATAGTGTAGGAAACCAGAAAGAATTGGAAACATAAATGAAAGAAAGAGACTGCTCCCTGCAACTTTTAGCCATGAGAGTAACAGTATACATTTAGATAGAAAAGGCTATGAGATTCCAAAAAATTCAAAGACAGTATTGAGTTTCAGAGAATAGCGGGATATAACCCAGTCCTTGGTGGTCAGCTGAACCATATTATGATTGTTTTTAACATGGAAGGAAGAAGACTCTGCTCTCTTTTTAAAAACCTGCTGTTGAGCTGTGTACTCTCTGCCCCAGCCGATAGTCACAGCCTTGTCCTTACTGTGAGCAGAGTGAGGAACTGATCATCTCACTAGTGTGCAAGCTCTCAGACTTGTTCTTTACTAGAGTAGGTGCAGTCTGGGTGCAGTGATGGTTTCTCTCTGTGCCCAGAGGGCGGCTCCCTCCTTCACTGCCAGGACAGATGTCGGTGTGTGTTCTCCTAGCCAGTAGGACAGATGCAGTCAGTAAACAAAACAAACAAACACAGACACACACAAACACCTTCCTGGCTCAGCAACCCAGACCCCTGACAGCAGAGATGAATCATGTTACTCAAAGTAGAAAGTTGCCATCAGTAAGTGAAACTGACAAAAGGGTATCTTAAAACACAATTGCTTTAAATTTAACATCTATAAATTAATATGGCTGGGCACGGTGGCTCACACCTGTAATCTCAGCACTTTGGGAAACCAAGGTGGGCGGATCATCTGAGGACAAGAGTTCGAGACCAGCCTGACCAACATGGAGAAACCCTGTCTCTACTAAAAATACAAAGTTAGCCAGGCGTGGTGACGCATGCCTGTAATCCTAGCTACTGGGGAGGCTGAGACAGGAGAGTAGCTTGAACTGAGGAGGCAGAGCTTGCAGTGAGCTGAGATTATGCCATTGCACTCAAGCCTGGCAACAAGAGTGTGACTCCATCTCAAAAAAAAAAATTGCAGTTGATTATGGAGATTGATTAAGAAGTAAACTGCATGATAGAAAGGGGAACATATTAATCAAAAGTAGAATAATAAATTTCATTGTATAATTTTTTTCTTTTTCTCCAAGTTAATATATAAAGGACAATAGCATAGAATTAAGGGTGTTTGTTTTTATTCAAGAATGATTTTTTTTTTTTTTTTTTTTTTAGGCAGAGTCTCCCTCTGTTGCCCAGGCTGGAGTGCAGTGGCATGATCTCGGCTCACTGCAACCTCCACTTCCTGGGTTCAAGGGATTCTCATCCCTCAGCCTCCTGAGTTGCTGGGATTACAGGTGCTGAGCCACCACACCCGGCCAGGAATATTTACCTTTTTTTTTTTTTTTTTGAGACAGAGTCTCGTTCTGTCGCCCAGGCTGGAGTGCAGTGGCACGATCTCGGCTCACTGCAAGCTCTGCCTCCCGGGTTCATGCCTTTCTCCTGCCTCAGCCTCCCCAGTGGGTGGGACCACAGGGGCCCACCACCACTCCTGGCTAAATTTTTCTATTCTTTTAGTAGATACGGAGTTTCACCATGTTAGCCAAGATGGACTCAATCTCCTGACCTTGTGATCCGCCTGCCTCAGACTCCCAGAGTGCTGGGATTACAGGCGTGAGCCATCACACCCAGCCAAGAATATTTTCAAAAGCATATCTCTCAGGCTATAAAAATTGAAGTTCAAATTGTGTAATCAAGTTTATAGCCTGAAGCAATTGGGTCTATTAAAATAATAAGTATTCGTTTTATTTCTAAGTGAAAGAGATAAATCAAAGGCCAATAAAACATTTCACTTGGGAAAACTTTCTTTTCAGATGGTTTTCATTCTGATTCTGCTGTTACTTTCAGATCAGTTAATACATAGAAGACGACTACAATTTTGTGTTCAGATTTAGAGTATAAACCAAGTCTCATTTCATTAACTAATATAGACCAATGGGTTGGTTAAGAAAGGAACCATTAATTTTACAAAGAGAGTTATCCTAAACTGTGACCAGTTTTCCAGTACTTAATTCTTTTTGTAAAAAAGAATTCATTCTTTTTTTAAATGGCAAATAAAATTGTATATACGTTGTGTACCTGTTTAGAAATAAGCAGATTGTGGAATGATTACATTGCACTCAGGAACATATGCATACTTACTTTTTTGGTGAGAACACTTCTTGATTTTCAAGAATACAATACATTAACTGCAGTCACCATGTTGAGCAATGTATCTCTTAAAATTATTCCTCCTGTCTAACTACAATTTTGAATGCTTTCACTGTCTCCCCAAGTCCCTGCCTCCCAGCCCCTGGTAACCTCCATTCCACATCCTGCTTCTGTGAGTTCCATTGTTTACATTCCACATAAGTCAGATCACGTGGTAGTTGTCTTTTTGTGCCTGGCTCATTTCACTTAACACAATGTGCTCCATTAACCTCCTGTGAATCCCAGTTTCTAACCTGCAATTGCTCTAAGTGTTTTCATTCCCTTTTCATGGTTTCTACTAAGAATTCCAGAGCTCAGCTGCAATGTGTTCACTGCTTTGGAAGTTATTCATTGTTTTTCTTTACTTCTTGTCCACGGACACACAAATAAATTGTCTGGTGCAAGTGCAGCGGCTATATGCCCTTCCTGTGAAGGCAGGCCGGTTTGACATCTATTAAGCAAATCCATCTCAGCATTCGTAACAGCATTTATATTGTTTGATATCAGGCTCAGCAATTTGAAAAATATGCCTCTGTCTCTGTAAGACTACCTATGAGTTGGAGAAGATTTATGTAATATTCAACCCAGCAGATAATGTATATAAAAATTATTTCATATGATTTAATGATCTTGAATCAATTTAACTGTTTATATGTCATACTTGGAAAAACCAGGGCAATTATAATGTTTAATAATGGCATCTGCATAAAAAGCAATAATTCATATTCCACTTTAAAAATCTTTTCTCTTATGTAGAGGGGTAAGTGGCATCCTAGTGGCACCAGAAGGATGTACTGGTGAGCTTGTGTAGCGGTCCCTAAGTTAACGCATGTTGCTTTATTTGACTGACACTGATGTTCCCATCTTAGCTTCCGGCTGTTACGTGGGCAGAAAACCCAAAGTTAGTAACTTTGAACAGTTCCATCAATGTTAGTAACTCAAGGGCCAAAGTGATGGACTAAACTGCCAGTCGAGTCAATCTTTGGTTCGCCCTCATGATGACAGAGTGTTTTAAGGTAGTGAGGCAGTGCTTAGTCTCAAGGTAGCCTCCCTTCCTCTCATGCATTACCTGGTGTTTGTGTGCAGGAATGTGGATCCTCTATACATGCCTGGGGTTGTGGGTGTGGGGAGGTGCCTCCAGTGTGCTGGGGTATATATACCCCGGGGACTCTGCAAGTGCCTCACCCATAGATGCTCCCTGTGGCCTGGTGACAGGGGTCACCAGGCCCATGGAGGCTTACAGTGTGGAAGTTGGAGGCTTCACCATAATCTGTGGCCTGAGCTTGGCCTCAGGGAATATTCCTGGGTGGTGTCAGCTATACATCCTCCTTACTCATGGTCATAGGGGAGCAGTGACTCTCTGGGACTGTGGGATGGGTGGTAAAAGAATTTACCAAGACAATTGTAGGTAAAGAAAGGCAGATTTATTGGACACCACAGAGTTTACATGTTTGTGGTGATGTGGGTGTGTACAATTATGTACAGTGCATAACAATCGATGAAAAGAATAGATGCTGATGTTAATGTTTTATGTATTTAATATCCTATGTTTTTGATTGTTATTTTAGGGTATATGCTTACTTTTTTTTTTTTTTTTAAGTTAACTGTGAAGCAGCCTCGGGCAGGTCCTTCAGGAGGTTTCCAGAAGAAGGCATTATTATCAAGGAGATGACAGCCCCATGCCTGTTACTGCCCCTGAAGACCTTCCAGTGGGACAAGATATGGCGGTAGAGGACAGTGAAATTGATGATCCTGACCCTGCTTAGGCTTAGGCGAAAGTGTATGTTTGTGTCTTGGTTTTTAACAAAAACGTTTTAAAAGTGAAATAAATAAATAAATAATGAAAAAAGCTCATAGAATAAGGTTAAAAGGAAAGAAAATATTTTTGTATAGCTATATAATTTGTGTGTTTTTCTGTTGATCTGTTTGAGACAGGGTCTCACTCTGTCACCCAGACTGGAGGGCAGTGGCACAGTCACAGCTCACTGTGGTCTCAACCTCTTGAGCTCCAGAGATCCTCCCACCTCCCTCAGGAGGACGCCAGTCCTGCAGGCAGACATCAGGCCCCAGATGGACCCTGGATTCAAGGTGTACACCAGGCCCCAAGTTGACAGCTAGGCCCCAGATGGACACCAAGGCCCTAGGTGAACAGCAGGCCCATTTGAACACCAGACTCCTGTGGACATCAGGCCGCAGGTAGACACCATGCCTTAGGTAGATACATAGGCTCCAGGTGGACATTAGACCCAGGTACACAGCCAGTTCCCAGGAGAACATCAGGCCCAGGTAAAAACTCAGGCCTTAGGCGCACATCTGGCCTTAAGTAGACACCCAGGCCCCAGGTTGATACCCAAGTCCCAGGTGATCACCAGACCTCAGGTGGACACAAGGCCTTAGGTTAACAACAAGACCCAGTAAGCCATCAGGCCCCAGCTGAATAGAGTCCCCAGGTGAACACAAGGCCCCAAAAGGAACATAGGCCCAAGGCAGACATCAGGCCTTCTGTGGACATCAGGCCTGAGGAGGACATCCGGCCCCCGGTGAACATCAGGCACAGGTGTCCAAGCAGGCCCTGGGTGGACATAATGGTGTCTAGGTAAGGAGGTGTCCTGGGGGGAGGGTGAGCAGTCAGCAGCCCAGTGGAGTCCTGAGTAGGACTTATGGAAGAAAGGGGCCAAGGGGACGGAACCTTAAAGAAGCGACCTCACTTCCTCGATGACACATCCAACAGAACTTAGAACTCTGGTAACCAGGCGCCCAGATCCTAGGGTCAGCCCAGTAACCAGCTCACTTGGTGGGAGACGCTTGAGAGAGCAAGATGTTCTCATGTTGCTTCCCCACTTCGAGAGGCTGCTGCTTCAGGAATGGAGGGAGTGAGAGCCTTTTCTGACGATGCCGAAGAAGGCTCATCCCTCACCCCAGACGCCTGTGGCCCTTTGTAAGAAGGCGCACCCGGGTACCACAGGGCAGCCCGGGGCAGGCCCTAGCAGGGCCAGGCCACACCAGAGATCCCATTGGGGCTGCATCTGCACATTGTCCCTGTCCAGGAGGAGATTCGGGAGCCCATGGAGGCACAGGCACAAGGTGAGGTGGCCTGCAGTCTGGAAGATTTTGTAGGGGCAGTGTTTAGGGGCTGGAACTCCTTTAAATTCAGTGAGGTTGTTTCTGTGTTTGGAAATTCCAGTGGAAAGTGACTGACGCTGCGGACCCTTTCTCCTTTTTCAGCTCCTGGTCCATTTGAAGAAATAGGAGCACTTCCAGCACCAGCTGTTGAGCCAGAGCCAGCATGGGAAGAGCCCCCTCCAGAGACAGCGCTGGAGCTGGAGGGAGCTCCGGCCAAGGACCAACCCAATGAGGGGCTGCCTGAAATTATGGCACCTGCTGTAGCCACTGGCCTTAGCCTTGCAGCTGAAAGGGTGGCTGTAGAGAGAAGTCGGAGGGAGGGGGTGACCAACACGGCCCCAGCCAGCAGCTCCCATGCTGCCCCTAGTCCTGGGCACGGTGGCAAACATGGAGGCGGAGACCAGGGTTTTGAGCCTGGGCTCCTCTACCTTGCTGGAGAGAGGCTTGTCTCATTCACTAGAGCTGCAGTCCTGCTGCTGCAGGGCCTATTTATTCTACTGCTGCTGGTGGGGTCTATCTGTTTGCAGGAGGTGCTTGAGGGCATTAAAAGAAGGCTGAGAGGAAGAATTCCAGTAGCTCCTCCTGCACCCAGAGGCGGCCTCCTCCTCCAGGGATGGATGTCTGTCTGCAGCTGGGCATCCGGGCTGTTTGCCCCTGTCATGCTGCCCAGGACAGGCTCTTAAAAGGCGGGCAGAGGGTGAGGGGACCAGGAGGCAGCTCCAAAGGGTACAGCAAGCAAAGCTTTTAAAGACAGCACTTGTGCCCCAGGCTGTCCATGCCACCACCTGCCCTAGCATTTATTAGTAGTGTTAGAATTACTAGTTGATGAAACAATATTTCAATAAAGTTTAATTTCTGAAACTTTGTGCCTTTTTGAACTCCCTAATGTTAGATGGTGTTTTTGAGGTGATCCTGAAAATCTCTGATAGTTGTGTCTTTTGTTGTGGTTGTTTGTGTGATTGAATTACCATGGAGTCAACTGTTATTGGAAACCTTTCAGGTATGGCTTTTAGAAGACCTTGACCTACTCTTGCCTGTTTTGACTCTCTGGTTTATTGTGGAAAGAGGGATGATGTAGGCTCATGTCTCTGGCAGATCAATCACCTTTTGCCATCAAGGATTTGGCATCAGAGTTTCCAAGAATTATGTGTGCAAGTTGACACGCTGGCACTTTAGCTAATCTGGGTGTCAAAACAGAATGCCATAGACTAGGTAGCATAGAAAATTGATTGCTCACAGTTCTGGAGATGGCAAAATCCAAGGTCAAATGGTCAGGAGATTCCATGTCTGCAGAGGGCTGGCTTCCTGGTTCAGAGATAGCCATCTTTTACGGTGTCCTTACATGACAGAAGGGATGAGGGAGCTCTCTGCAGTCCCTTTGATAGGGGCACCAATTCCATTCAGGAGGTCCCTGCCTTCATGAACTTAATCACCTCCCAAGGCCCCACCTACAAATACCATCACAGGGAATTAGAATTTGACACATGAATTTGAGGAGGACAGTAACATTTGCTTTACAGAATCAGGTCTCCCCGAGCCATATGCACTCACAGGAAACCTATAATCTTCTATTAAGTATTTGCTGGTCCCCTTTGAGATTAGGGAATTTTTTTTCTTTAAGAAAAATGATCTTTCATGTGATCCATGGTTTATTCATAGAAAAGCACTGTGAGTTCACACGCTAAAAAGAAGGGCAATGGTGACACAAAAATGACAGTGACCTCTCTCTGTCTCTCTCTCTTTCTCTCTCTTATTTAACCAACCCATTGGGCTGAGACGTTGTAGGGGCGCTTGGCTGGGCAGTAGGACTTGAGTAGCCACAAGCAGCAAATACATCTTTTTGGTCAGCTTGGAGTAGAAAAGGTGACAGTTTGTCAACGAAAGAAAAAGTAAAGCAGATGGAGAAGTTCTTAGTTCGCTTTCTAGCTATACCACCTCTTCCCTATGAAACCCCACCCCCAAATCAGGAACTAAGACATAAAAGAGTAAACACCAAGGCACTGGTAACCAACTGACTCTTCTGAATGCCCTTGCTATCTCCTACAACAATTCCAGGCTGAGCAGAGGGGTCAGGAAGGTGGCAGGAACACGATGATTCACTGTGGAGGTCAGCCAGAGCTAAGACAGGGCTGCTCACTAGGGCTAGAAATTAGGAAGGAGAGGCTAAGTGCAGACCAGCCCTAGCCTCCAAGTCAGCAAGCAATGAGATTGCGACAAAAACAGGCAGAAGAAGCCTGAGGTAGAAAGGCAGGGGAAGAAAGCAAGTATGGGGTAAGAAGAGAACTGTGCAGCGAAAGCAGCCAGTCTGATGGCAGACGGAGACTGGTGCTTAGAAGCTCGTTCCGGGAGAGAATGAATAGAGGAGGCACAGAGATGGGGAACAGACATTTAGCTGGTGAGAGAGATTTAACACGAATAGGAAGAGAAATCTCGCACAAAGGACACATTCATGCAGATCCTCTAAGATGAACATGCAGTCATTCCTACATGTAGAAATACGCTCAGTTACACATATAAAACCACAGATGCATGGAGAGCAAGCATACACACAGACACATATTTCTACACATGTGCTCATGTGTGCCCAGATACACACACACTAAACATACAAAACACAAGAGCATTTACACATAGATATGCATCCTCACATGTATGCAAATGTTACATCCTCACACACAGACCCACAGTTCAGTGTGCACATATCCACACAGGTACGCAGTCATAGAACAGACATAGATACGCATAAAGATGTAATGTGCACATACAGACAGGCATGCGCAGTTATATCTATGCACATAGACACATGTACTCAGTCATACAGATACACACACTCTCTAGCACAAAGGTGATCAATGTAGATGAATATTGTGAGCTCAGTGGCTTCCCAGACCTTCATCTTTTCCCCGCACTTGTTTCAAAGGTGCTCAGCAGACTCCTGGCGAGGCTGTGTGAGGCGGGGGAGGAGCTTCAGAGTCCTCACAGGTTTGTGAGGCAAAAGTCTAAGTCCAGTCCTGGCCTCTGCCGTTCACCCACCACTGGGCTATTAATGCTTTGTCTGTAGGTGAGAGATTTTGCATAGACTAGTCTTGGGATATTTTCTAACTGATCGTTTTTCTCCTTGGCACCCCCACTATCCCACTGGGAAGGGCATACACTCTGCAAGGGAAACCTGAGAAATGGTTGTGAGTCTCCTCAGACAGTAAGCATATCCTCTACCCACAGCTACCTCAAGTGCCCATCAAATCAGAACCAGAATTATAAATATTTATGACTTTACAATAATTGGCAACACATATACTATAGTATTTACAGCACCATAAATGCATCTATTTCTCTGGTACAGCAATCTCTGAGACGGAACAGTGTTCTGTGTTTGCCAAGAGAGACAGGGCCAATGCCCAGGACACGCAGGACGTAGGGACAGAAGGTGACATATCATGGGGTTTCTGGTGGATCTGCAGGGCCCAGCTTCTCCATGAACAGTGGGCTGTAGTGAGAAGCTTGCCAAGACAGGCATATTGACTGGAATTAGACTCTCCCCATCCTTAGCCCTGTGGTCCTTTGGCCTCAGCCACAGGTGCTCAGAGTCCTCTCAGGGTGCACAAATGTTTCAGTGTTTTTGACCTGACCTGATACTTCCTGGGGACCCAGCCTGCGGGGCCGGTGAGCTACCTGCTTTCTCAGCCAAAGGGCTCTCGAAGCAGCAGCATCAGCTTTTTCTTACCTTTGTAGATCTGTTGGAGATTGTCGATGAACTGGGCAAATTGCAGGTAGCCATCCTGGGGCAGCAGGAAGGTCTCCCGAGCCTTGCTTAGAAACTCAATAAACTCCATACCGGCAATGGCTGATGTGTGTTGGGTGTAGTGTGGGGTGTTGATGTAAGCATTGATGGTGGCATCAGCAACTGGCACAATGGAGCTCTGTCAGTGGAGATGAGCTTTCCAGAGCTGTGGCGGCCTGGGATGCTGACCAGGCCAAGTGCAGTCACCGTGCAACCTCACACACAGGATGTCTGAAAGCACCATGGCAATGTGCACACTCTTCACCACCAGGGGGATGAGAACTGCCAGATCATTCTTTCCCAGAGAGTGGCTGAGGGCACAAACTCAGAGCACGTCATTGATGGCTGCGCGGGTATCCTGGTTAAGAGCCGGGTTAAGATGGCTCATGGCCATGAGGCCAGCTTGAAGGCACGGAGCTGCAGCCATGGAGATGCACGTAGCAGGCAATGGGGAACAGCTGGGAATGGGCCGTGCCACCGGCAACAGCCTCAGTGGCAATCTGGCAGGCGGCCTCAAAGGCAATGTGGTCTTTCTCAGAGTGTAAGGGCTGACAGGGCACAGCTCTGTGGATGCTTCATAGCACGCTGCAAGGCCAGTGTGCAAGCACAGCTAGCCAGTTCCTCCCGCTGTGGATAATCAAGACTGAGGTGCGGGCTAGTGGTGTGGGATACGGCTGTGGCAGCTACAATACTAGTAGCCTCAGTAGGGGTGAAGAGTGTGTCCCAGCTCTGCAAGATGCTTACTGGGGCCCACACACCTGTCAGGCCAGTGCCTGAGCTCAGCCGTGGCCATCTGGGTCCTGATTCAGGTCTGCCCAGATTACCATGTGGGGTTTGAACTTGGCCTGCAGAGATGAGTTCTCCTTCCTCCTCAGCAACCTTGAGATGATCTGAGGCAAACCAGGGCAAGGAGGCATCCCAGGTGGCCAGACCCTGCTTGGGGTCTCTTCCTATCCCTTCCGTCCCCAGGCCAGAGGGTTGAAGGTTTCTGCAGGTGCTCTTAGACCCTCACAAGGATGGAGCAGTAGAGCCTGGGGTTTGCTTGCCCCGAGGCCAGGGCTGCAGATCTGCCAGGAATTCTAGCTGAAGTGGGGCCTCTCAGGGTTGAGTCTTGTGCTGGTCTTTGGGCTTTAGAAAAGGTCCTGAGCCGGCCGGGCGTGGTGGCTCACACCTATAATCCCAGAACTTTGGGAGGCTGAGGCGGGCGGATCACAAGGTCAGGAGATCAAGACCATCCTGGCTAACATGAAACCCCGTCTCTACTAAAAATACAAAAAAATTAGCCAAGCATGGTAGCAGGCGCCTGTGGCCCCAGCTACTTGGGAGGCTGAGGCAGGAGACTGGCATCAACCCGCAAGGTGGAGCTTATAGTGAGCCGATATTGCGCCTCTGGACTCCAGCCCGGTCGACAGCACAAGACTCCGTCCCGGGAAAAAAAAAAAAAAAAAAGAAAGTGTCCTGAGCCTCCAAGCTGTCTGGGGTTTCTCACAAGCATGGACAGGGACGGGACCAAGCCACCAGGCCCACATGCTCAAACCACAGTGGCTGGCCTTGGGAATTAACGGGTAGTCTTGACCGGGCGTGGTGGCTCACGCCTGTAATCCCAGCACTTTGGGAGGCCCAGGTTGGCAGATCACAAGGTCAGGAGATGGAGACCACCCTGGCCAAGATGGTGAAACGCCGTCTCTACTAAAAATACAAAAAATTTAGCCAGGCGTGGTGGTGGGTGCCTGTAGTCCCAGCTACTCAGGAAGCTGAGGCAAAAGAATGGCGTGAACCCGGGAGGCTGAGCTTGCAGTGAGCCAAGATCACGCCACTGTACTCCAGCCTGGGTTGCAAAGCAAGACTCCGTCTCCAAAAACAACAATAACAACAACAAAAACAAACAAACATTAGCTGGACAGGGCGCCTGTAATCCCAGCTATTTGGGAGGCTGAGGCAGGAGAATCGCTTGAACCCAGGAGGTAGAGGTTGCAGTGAGTCCAGATCGCGCCACTGCATTCCAGCCTGGCAACAGAACTTCTAGACTCTGTTTCAAAAAAACAAACAAACAAAAAAAAATTGCACAGATCCCTAAAAATAT